CAGTCATACAGTGGTGCCTCGCTTCATGAGTGCACCATAGAACAACGAAATCGCATAGCGATCTTTTTGAGATCGCTAATGTGATCGCTTACCAAGGGCCTCTATGGCCAAAACTTGCACTGTGAAGATCGGTAAGCGTTTCGCTTACCGATCTTCGCATTGCGATGCCAGGAAATCAGCTGTTCGGCGGCTCCAAAATGGCCGCTGGACAACCCAAAATGGCCGCTGCAACCATTTTCGCGCCCTGCCCTTGCTTACTGAGGGCGCAAAAATGGTGGCGCTATGAGGAAACTTCGCTTAACGGTGAGTATAGAAGCCATTGGAATGCATTAAACTAAGTTTAATGCGTTCCAATGGCATTTTTCGTCCCGTTTAGTGATGTTTCCTCATAGAGAGGGTTAATCCGGAACGGATTAACCTCGCTATGCGGGGCACCACTGTATTGTCTGTGGCAAGTTGAACAGCTTGACCTACTATGAGAGGGTGGAAGGCACGGAAAGCCTTGATGATGGCGAGTTCTAGATGGTTGATGTGATAAGTCTGTTCTCGGTTTGACCACAGGGCATGGATTTTGTGGCCCTGATAGCGAGCACCCCATCCCATCCAGTGGGGCTGGTGTCAGTAGTGACCTGAAAAGTGAGCTGGAGTGGAGAGAACGGACGACTCACTATGAGATGTGGAATGAAGGTCCACCAGGTAAGTTGATGTGCCAATTCTGGAGTGACCAGCAACAGTTTGGAAGGGGGGGGGTCGACCAGAGAAAGGTACCAAGCTTGGAGATATCTCATTTTGAGCCTGGCATGTTGGACTACTGCAATGTCCAAATTCGAGGCCATAAGGCTGAGCAGATGTTGAGTCCAATGAGCCAATACTGACGCAAAGGGTCGAAAGGGCTGTATTGTGGTTTTCAGTTTGTCCATTCTCTCCCAAGGGAGAAAGGCTATGGCCATGGATGAATCTGTGGTCTGAGAGGGTTCGAGACGGGACTTGTCGAAATTGACCTTGAGCCTGAGGTCTGCTAGTGTGGAAAGAGTGAAACAAGCGTCTTTTTGAGCTTTTTGATAAGGGTCCTTTTCATAAGAGTCTGATACGATTAGTCAATCGTCGACGTAGAGAAAAAACGTTATGCTTTGTAGGCGGAGGTAAGCTGCGACTGGCGTAAGGCATTTTGTGAAAGTCCGTGGAGCAGTGGAAAAGCCAAAGGGAAGGGAACAAAACTGGTAAGCGATGGCTTCAAAGCAGAAGTGCCTTCAAATTAGAAGTGGAGGTACTTGTGATGATGAGGATGCATAGAGATGTGAAAATATGCGTCTTGAATGTCTATTACGACAAACCAGTCTCTGGAGGAGAGGAGTGGGATAATGGTGTCTAGAGTGACCATCTGGAAGCGGGGCTGGATGTATGTGTTGAGGTGTCTGAGATAGAGGATGGGACGGAGAATGTCTAGGGAGACGGAGGCCTCCATCTCATTTTGGAACCGTGATGTACCTGGAATAGAAGCCAGTGTGAAGATCCTGGTTTGGAACTGTATGAATAGCTTGTTTCTGTAGAAGAGAGACTTCGTCTCGAAGATCAGGCGAGTATGGACTATGTCTGAGGTGACTGACAGGAGGGAGTTTGAGTATGGATTATGTCTGAGGTGACTGACAGGAGGCAGTTGTATGAATTCGAGAAGGTAACTCTGGAAGATGATGGAAAGTACCCAATGGTCATTTCTGATATGGGACCAATGTGGAAGATGATGGAAAGGACCCAATGGTCATTTCTGATATGGGACCAATTTCGGAAGAAGGGGAAAAGGTGTATGTGGAAAGGAATAGGATAGCTGACCTTGGATTGGAGAAAATCAAAGATACTGTTTGCCCTTTCTTTGGGGGTGACGGAAAGCTTGATGACATTGAGCCTGAGGCTGGAGTCAGAAGGTAGTTGGCCTGGTAAAGGGTCTGTCTGATGTTTGAAGTTTGTATGGACGGTACTGTGGTTGTTGATATGGTTGGTAGAAAACGGAGGGTAAGCCCCACTGGGGTCAGTGGTGGAGGTTGCTTGACTACGAGCTCGAGAGACTTTGCCATACCGAGAACAAGTTGAAAGTAGGAAGTAAAGTCCTCTGATGGAGAAGGTGGATGATTGCCCACCACATCAGAATTGGATGTGGGCAAGCTGGATGGGGACTCCTGAGAAGCTTCAGAAAGAGGATGATGAATGTCAGAAGCTGCCGAGTCGGAAGGAGATCGGTGCTGAGGTTTTGAACAGGTGGTCTGAGCTGCAGGAAGAGAGTGGACAAGCATTTACCCAAATCAGCTGGAGCAGGAGGAGGTTCTGTATATGTGATGGTGATCTGTACAGATGAGGAACGAACCTGGGGAAGGGTGGTGCTAGGTTGGGAGGTAGAGATGGAGATCGGTATGGAGGATGTATGGGAACGTTTTGACATTGGTTGGTCAGATGGCTGAGAGGAGTGGTGTTTAAGAGCCAATTTAGAGGGGATCGAGCCTCTTGGTATGGGTTGAGGCTTTGGTTGACGAGACCAACGGTAGTGTTGAGGTGGTGAAGGTGGTACTGATGTTGAAGACTCAGGTGGGTAAGTGTATGCATACCAAACCCTCTTCAGTTCATCATAGTAGTAGGATTCTGAATACAGATTGATGTTGTCCTCACAGTGTTGAGATCGACTATACCTCTCATAGTAAGAGTCTCAATATAGAAGAGGGAGATGATGTCAAGATGATTTGTGGACATAGTAATAGATCTCTCGATGTGGAGGATCTTGGTGAAAGATGACATCTCTTTGCTAAATGTTTTCAAGGGGGAGATTGATGGAAAGAGGATTCCAAGTTAGACAGCTAGATTATTGTTGCCCGCCCTGGAGATATAGAGCTAGAATGGGCCGAGACCAGGCTGAAAGGAACATCAGCCACCAAGAGGCCAAGACCAGGCGTAAGGCTCATTATGGAAACGGGAGCCTGCCCTTGAGATAGTGGGAGAGGGTCTTCTCTTTCCAACAAAGATTTGGGAACATCTCTCGAGGATTCCTCTAAGATTGGTGAAGGGACATCTGATGGAGGTTCATGAGGTTGAGAAGGCTTAGATTTTTTTTAGCCTTCTTGGATTTAACGTGCTCCTCCTTCTTTTTAGATGAATGATCCTGAGGCTGTGTGGAGGATGATTTCAATACCGACACCAATTTCGACTTCAAAGATTTCGAAGGTCCCTTCGGTTTGGGAAATGGCATGGTTGGGTTGGATACGGATTCAGGCAATTCCTGCCTGGGCACAGGATTTAAAGTAAGCTCCATGGAAGAGGTACGTAGGTGATTAGAGGGAACTTTCCCACAGAAAGGAGTGGAGCCACTAAAGCCGGAGTTTGAAGGCCAGTGTAGTCAGCCTCTTGCACTCTTGGCAAGATAGTTTGCTGCTGTTCCTCCAAACAAAAAAAGGCAGTGGTCGTGACCATCAGATAGGGGGATCTTATTTGAACAAGAAACACACCACTTGAACAGATCAGGGGGGCATAAAAAGGTGGGAGGAGGAAGGGGGAGGGAGAAAATGAAAGGATGAAAAATATGGAAAAGAGAACGTAAGAAAGAAAAAACTCAGGGGGAAATGTCAATGAGAAATAAAATGAAACCTATAAAGGCAGACATGACGATAGGTGATCACGATTGAAAAGTTAGTTGCTCTAGTCCTCGAGAAGTCTGACCTAAGCAGTGGCTAAAAGGAACTGAGGGGACTTCAAGCAGACGCAGCAGGCGCTCTCCATGGGGGAACGTCCCACTAATCACGTCTTTGAGCTCTAGAAACTTCTGAGATGTCCTGCGCAGGCGTAGAATAACCCATTCGTGTGCATTCACAGAGACCATGAAGCAGCAGCTATGGAAATCGATTAAGATGGAACTGGTATCTCCAACCTGTTCCTCTCCTTTATTTCTTTTTCAATCCAGTCTTCCCCTGCTCTTTTCCATGGCATCTAGAATAGGTATGTTACATCCAATGGCTGTCGTCCTATTTTTCCAGGCTCTATCATTCTACTTTGAAAGTGAGGGGTGAAGATAAGTGCAGAGAACAAAGCTGTATTAAATTTCAATATAATTATCTCCAATTATATAAGCTGCTTCTCACTACTACTTTCTTTTTGCTATTTTCTCTGATGGAGAATATATTTCCCCATATAGTTTCTTATGATCACAAACTAAGCCAGGATTTGGGGGGGGGGGCTTTTTAAAGATTTTGACTACATGCTAATATAAACTACTATATTTTCACTGCTCAGTAAGATACCTGAATTATAATGAATTATTCTCCAAGGTGGCGGGAAGAGATACTTTTTCAGCAGACTATTCCATTATTCCAGAACCAGCTGCCTGAAGATTATTTTTGGAATGAAAAAATCCGAAACTGTCACTTTCAAAGATAACTTTGACTGCAGTAAGCATGCTAGCATCTAACAAAGGATACCGCTCTAGCACCAAGCTGGACATTATTTCCATGCCTGTGCAGGTATAGTTGCAATTACATTCAGAGAAGGTTCTTTATGTGTATATTATAGTGGAGGAAGAAGGGCTGGATCAGAACTGCTGTTCACCTGTAACATGCTCTCAGACCTTCACCACCTGGCACAATAATTTTCCTACTGTTGACTGAGAAGCATGCTGAAAAAACTGAGCTGACTTCCAGGCTAAGAGGGAAAACCACCAGCTGTCTTCCTTATCTCTGCAGGAAAATTTGAGTTTGGGATTCTTTTACCTCTCTCAGGCCTAGAATTGTTATACAACATGAAGATATGTAATATAAGGGAATATGTCCTTGGATTTTATTTGAAAGTATACACTCAATCCCCAGGTTCCAAATTAAAAACTTTATTAATATTAGACATGGGCGTGAAAAATATAAAAAAAGAAAGAGAAAAATTAGTCAAACAGCAAAAGAAGCAACAAAAACAGTTCAGATTTTACATAGCCTAACAATAGGTCAAGTTACATGCAGTTAGCATTGGTCTCATAATGACATCCAGGAAAAGTCTTCGATATATAATAGTCTCTAATTTAAACCTGTGGGGCTGGAGGGAAAATGAGGTGGACTGAGTGTCCACCACCTTACGAAGGTGAGGAGGTGAAATGGGATCACAGCAACCTTCCTGTCAGATGTGTTCTATGTGAGAGTTAGTTCTCTATAACAGGGAGCAAATCATATCAACAGGCAAACAAAGGCCTCTCAACTGGAAAAGCTCCTAAATTACTCTTGTCAGCACAGCGATCAGTTACTGCACCACAATGGACTACTTGTATTGAACAATGCAACAGAGGAGCTAATGTGTTCACCATGCTGTTTATCACTTTGAAACACACTTTGAAAAAAAAACCCTTATATCAAAGAGCCCTTAAAACTTGAAGAAAAAATCATTTTACTGCTTTGACACATGTGCCACACATTTCTCAGTGTGAGCATGAAAGTCTGTGTATACTATTACTCCCACATTAAAATACTGGCTGAAATCCTGTCAGCACTTGTAGAATGCTGATGATATCAAAAGGAGGTGATTTTTAGAAACTAAACACTTCCTACTTTGGTCCTGCTGACCCCATGGTCCCTTTCATACTGTGGAAACCATGGGAGCTGCAAGATGGGAGGAAGACTTCAATTACTAAATATAGCTGCTGCTATGATGCCAGCAGCAATTTTTTTATAATCTACAGCTTCCTCCTCCCATCCCACAGCTCCCATAAATGAAAGGAGGGAATAAAATGCAAACTAAATTACCTTATAGAAAGTTGTTTTTCCTTTTGTTTTGTTTTTTTAAGCAAAGCAAATGTCTGTGGGCTCCCAGTGTCTGAAAGTCTGCAAAGTCAACTGGCATGAAATCAAAAGGACTTCAATAAGCCACATCACCCGATGTAGCTCCCTTATCCTCTTCGCATAGTCTTCAAAACTATTAGCTATTGTCAGACGTCTTTACAAGCTGTGGTAAAGGACCACCATTTCAGGTTCATAGGAGTGTTAGTGGACAAAATGTTTATTTCATCATCATTCTTATTACTAATAATTCCTAAATATAAGCTGACATTTCTCAATGTTGAAGATAAGCTTATGGACCTTCCCCACAATTTCTTAAGATAAACAGAGAACAGTATATTTAAAGGAAGCAGTTCAGAGGCAGATTTGCTATGCTATATGGCCAAGCTGAGACCATTATGAACTATCGACCTCTGCCACAGAATAGTAGAGGGTTTTAAAGCACTGCATGAAGAACAGTATGCTTTTGTGCCCACTCTTTCTGCAACATTATACAGAGACATGTCTTTTACATTCACTTTTGCAATTTATTCTATTTCTCACATGGTCTCAAAATACAATTTTACATAGTCCATTGTTCTGCTATAGATACAGTAGGTCTAAAGACAGTCATGAAAGTGGCATTCCAATCAGTATGCAATGAAAACTGATAACCTTGAAAGCTGTGTCAATAAATCGCTTTGCAGCCTGAGCGAGGGACAGATCCAGATTTTCAAAACTATCACATAGCTAACTTAAAACAGTGATACATTTGAGTTTATGTTAACAGTATAAAAATCAAGATGCTCCCTCCCCCCAACTACATAATGCCTTAAAATCCATATCATATTTTTATTTTTCCTGACATTCCATTAAACCTAAACCATATGGCCAGCTGCTATTCATACACTCAAAGCCACAGAAAATTAGTGAAAACCATATTGGAATTATGTAGGACCTACAATCATAGTCTGCTCCCCAAGTGAAATGTACTTGCTGCAGTTTAAATACTTTGCTATTAAAACTGTTCACATAGTGAAAATCAAATGCCTGTGAGTGTAACTATAACCGAGGCGAACTGTCAGCTTCTCAATGGAGGCAGCAAACTATATTGACAAAATATTGCCATTTGAAAAAGCATACTAAAACTTCAAGTCTACAGATACATAGGGGGTTTACAGAAAGAAGATCAACTTGGTTCAAATCTTTCTCACAAGTAGTAATTTTTAAAGGAAGTTAGATACAATTGATTGCAGAAAAATGAACCAAATGTGTGATCTAGGCAGATTGCCTTGTGAGAAAAAGGCATCAAAAGAACTGCAATAACTCTTACTAATCAACACATCTTCCTCCCAACTACATTTTCTAGTCATGCAGCTTTCATTTTTTAGCTTTCTGTAAAAAATGTAAATGTTCGGAACAGGCAGTAATAACACTAAAATAAGGTGACTACTTAAAATTATGAGTAAAATATGCTTATTTTGTTCATGAAAAGTCTATCCACAAACGTGCATGACTTGGGAGACCCTGATTTAATTCAACTGACTGAACATGGGGAGACTGGGGAGCTGCAAGTCAGTGTTCCCTCCTTCCACCCACCAGTGTGGACAGGCAATTGACTGGCTGTCAACAGCAGTAACCTTCTCACTGGATTGTCTTCTGACCAGTTTTTCCCCAGCAGGAGAAAACAGAATTCAGTGTCTATTTCACCTTTTGAGAATTCATCCTATAAAGGAATGACCCTTCCAGATCAGCACTCTTCCTTTTCCAAACAAGCATTTCTAGTGAAATACATGAGGCACAGAAGAAAAGGCCAGTAGTGAAGTTGGCTTTAGTCCCTCTGCGGTTAGACATTATTCAAAAGTGCTGTCTCAGAACAATACCACTTTGCTTTGGAAAGCAAAATAATTACAAAACAATTAAACACAAAGTGTCAGCATACAGCGAGTTTATATATATTTACACACTTAAATTTACACTTCTGTCACTGTGTGACTTTGCCACAGACAAATGCACAGTTTATCCCTACAAAGCACAAAGCTTAACCAATATTCTTTAGACATTATGGCAATTCCCCTCCCTACCAGTAAGCAAAACAGCCAACAAACCCTGGAGTTGTATTCTCGAAGGCTGGAGTTGTCAAGTGTTCGGCTTTCTCTACTCAGCTTGTTTTCCTCTGTAAAAGGAGAAATCCCACATCATGACACAGGGGGATAGAGAAAACAGCCATTCTGTTGCATACAGATATGGAGACATGTAACTGCCACCAGTATATCCTTGGGAATTCATTCACATGAAACCTCCTCCTGAGGCTACATCATATGCCATATTCCTTGGCACTTTGCTGGGACCAGGAAATGAGGATGACCAGTATCAGTGATCTAAACAGTATTTTCAGCAGCATCTCAGAGAGGGTAACGGATGGATTTTCTTATAATTCCTGTCAGGCCAGCTGACTGCTGCCTTTGCATGGACAGACAATAAGATAAACCTCAGGCTCACCACTCTCCAACAGTTAGGTGATTACAATATCAAAAGTTCACTGAGACACTCCTTATAGGCTCCTTCCAAGGATAACAACATCCTTTGGAAATCCCTCCATTTTAGCAATTTCAAAGCATCCCAACTTGCTGTAAAATTCCAAGATTCTTTTATCATCTGGTCTGACTTCACAAAAAGCCCCACGGGAGCCTAAAAAGGAGAGGGAAGGGTGGAAGCAGAAAAGAGTTACTTAAGTGGAAACTTTACAAACATCATTAGTTTTCTCTGAAAAGTTCAGGGTGCTCTGTCCATTTCTGGCTCAAGATCATGAACATCTGCAACAGTATAGATGTTTATGTGCACTGCTTCTTATCATTCAAACCCCACCCCCAGTTCATTATGCTGTCAAAGGTTGAGTGCTACAGACATTGAAGAGATCTAAAAAGCTGTTTTCAGTATGCACAAAGGCTTGGCCATGTTCTTAGAATTTTAAGCTGAAACATCATATACATTTTGCATACATAACTAAAGTCTGATTTTTTGTGGAACTAGTTGTATGATTTTCTAGATTTCAGTCACCATATGTTTACCAATATTTTAAGGAAGTGTGGTTCACAAAGAACAGCTCCAAATGAAGTCTTGTCTAGGATAACCAGCCATGATGTGGGCATCCGAAAGAGATACATTATTGCCCATCTTTGAATCAGTGAAGCGACTGTTACACCAACTTGCTTGCTGCCCATGCATACACAGTAAGTGGCACTACTGTCACAAATATTGCAGATTTTTGTTCTTAATTTAAAAACGTATTTTTACTACTGCTTACTCTCTCATGTACCCAGTGTGGATTACTTTAAAGATAAGGACACAGGAGACGTGGGTCTGGATCCCAGCTTGGCATTGGAAACTCATGGGGGTGAGGGATTAGTAAAACCACTCCTTAAATATCCCACTTACTTTAAACGTCCTATTAATGTTGCTATAATGTAGTTATGGCTTGATGGACACATAACACATATGTTGTCCCTAACAGATAGCTACTTGAAAATCCAAAGTACCTCTAAACAAAAACTCTGAAGAGTAAGAGGTAGATGGACAGAAACCTCACTTGGCAGGAAATTCTAGTGTAAAGCCATACCACTGGCCATTTCCTGGTAATCTTTTACTTCTGAAGATAAGGGCACAATAAGTGGGACTTTTAAAGGTTTACTTTAGGGGAACAGGATAAGAACATACAGAAGGCCATTACTCTTGAGAAACTGACAACATATAGGGACGAGCTGCTGAATTCTGAGTAAGTTGCCATTTCAAATAAAATATGGGGGGGGGGAAAGATACATAAACATCACATTATAATAATTTAATTCTGTAGAATATATGAAAATTCCAGATCAGCATTACAGACACAGCATGTTTATTTTGTCTAGCAGACAAACTCCTGCATATATTTGCACACAAGTTAAGACAGCTGCAGGAACTTACCATTTGCCTTGAGGGAGGATAGAAGGCAGGCCATCATGCTTTTAGCCACACTTGGATCAGTCACCTTTTTATGGATGTCAATCTTTATCAGTGATGGGAAATTGGCAAGGAATGTTTCTGGCAGAACTTCTTGTTCCTCATGGAAGCTCAGCATTATTTTCTTTAATGCACAAACCAGAAGCAACCTTTTAGAATCAGACCCTGTGCACAGTGTGTCACCAATAAAGAGGGCTTGGTTTTGGAGGTATCCTCATCAATATGATTCCATATTAACCCAGAAAGGAGCTGAATGCAGTAGACTGTGAACAGTTCCTTTCTTCACCTAACTTGATACAGATCTGCACATTTTTTACTAGAAAGCTTGGGCTGGAAAAACTGCAATCTCCCCTCTGGAAGCTGGTGTCTCTCACAATCTGAACCTCTCATGAACAACATTCTCTCTAATTTTCAGTCCAGGTTGGCGGGCTCTGCCCCGTGGGTGCACAATAGCCCCCCTGCGCCGCATGGGGTTCCACCGCAACCTGAACCAAAGGAGCTGAAAACTACTGCTGTGGGTGCACAGAGGAGAAGCCTGAGTGGAGGGGGGCATAAGTGCACACTTCAGAGGGACCCTTGCTCACAAGTGATATTTTTAAAAGACTGAGGATCTCAATCCTGAGACATAATGAAGAGATGCAGCTCACAAGGCAAAATAAAATAAAATAAAAAATAAAACTCAATATAACTCAAAAGTTACAAGAAATTGTAGATGGGGGTTTCTAGAGGTCAAAGCAGAACTACTTCTGGGGACTCCATGACTTACATGTTGTAATTGTGAAGCCTTGATATTGGAAAGTTCCAGGGCCGGTTATCCCCAGACTTACCAGGATTCTAAAGCCAATATGGAAGAGAAGCATGAAGAAATACAGAATGGTTGTACAAGTCAAGCATACACCAGCGTGACTAACCTCTGCTTCCGATAACTCTTTGTCACTGCTTGGCTTAGTGTATTTCTCTTGCATGAAGGGAATCCAGGCAATTTTGCATTTCTTAATGAAAGGAGTTACATCAACAGTGCCCAGCGCATAACCACAGATACCATCTTCATCTTCCAAAACAAAGCAGTAATCTGGGCTGAGGGAAAGTAACCCACCAACCAGCCTGATAGAAAATGAAAAAACAACAATGCAGGAAGCAGAACACTTGCTAAACCCAAAGTCAAAAAAGCAGAAATCACAGATGTCTCATTAAATAATCTATGCAACAACCCTTGAGCCTGGATTGTTATCCAAAGAAACCTATGTGTTAGCCACAGTTGTTACTCTTAAAGTTACATATAGCTAAGTATTATTTTTATGTAACATGCCACTAACATGTTCTTATTTCATTATTTTTAAAAGTTATTGAAAACATAACATCCGATTCCTATGACAACAATAGAAAATGCAATATTTTAGAAGCAACAAATTAAGTAACTTGTTCCTCACAAGTAATGTGCTCAAGTTAACATTTCAACATAGAAAAAAAGGGCAAAAGGAAGCCACAGTTGTTACTTTTAAAGTTACATATAGCTAAGTATTATTTTTATGTAACATGCCACTAACATGTTCTTATTTCATTATTTTTAAAAGTTATTGAAAACATAACATCCGATTCCTATGACAATAGAAAACGCAATATTTTAGAAGCAACAAATTAAGTAACTTGTTCCTCACAAGTAATTCCTCACAAGTAATGTGCTCAAGGTTAACATTCAACATAGAAAAAAAGGGCAAAAGGACATCTTCATTACCCCTGAAAGTAACACGCAACAGGTAATGTCATTATTTGTAACTCATTATTTCCAAACTCTCAATACACAAATAACTCAGAAAAAATTAAAAAGAGAAGAGGTTTTGCAATATTAGCACAATACGTCAAGCGAAATGAATGGCTTATTTAACTTTTAGGCTTAATAAATATACATTTAATTGCCATAAACTAAGAAACAAGTATAGGTGCTTGCCATAGCAAGCTTAAATACAACTCGCAGCTCAACCATAATAACTATGATGATTTCTTAATTTGTAGCAATTCACCAGATTTACTCCAAACCGTTATGCTAGTGTTCAAACACAACAGAGGTTTGGCCCAGGAACTACATCATTTTAAACTATAAATCTCAAGAACAAACTGCTAAAAGGATTTAAGGAAATTACTCCAAGTGGGGGCAACTTTATGGCTCAGCTAACTAAGCTGGCTGGTACCCTAGCAGACCCAAGGAGACTGCTTGTTCCCGAGAAAGCAGAAGTTATACATCACAATGTTTGACTAACCCCAAACATCAAAAGATATATAAACAGAGATTTCTATCTTGTTTAAGGAACATCTCCCAAGAAGCACAGGAAAGTGTTTTTGCAAATGGGAGAAATCTCTGCTGAGAAATTGGGTGAGAAATATTTAATGTGATGTGAATTATTTACTGTCTTTATGCTTTGCTAAAACTGGTTTAATAACAAAATGTACTGTAATAGCGCTTTTAAGTGATTGTATGAGAGTTTTATCTAATTGATAGTTTTGCTAAGAAAATAACCTTTTACTAAAGGAAAATAGTTTTTCCTTTTATTCTTGAATTACTAAACCCAAGTCTTATGTTGTTTAAACAAACGCTCATATTTTGCTAGAACGGACTTCTTTTTAAGGATTACTCATTTATATGAACTAAAAAGATCTGTATTAGAGGACTGTTATTTTTGCAAAACACACTCATGTAGTTTTTTTTAGTATATATTCAAAGTATATTTTACATTTTTGGCTCATATTTCTCAATTGCTTGGTTGTTAATAAACCTTTTTTCAAAAAAGGAGGAGCCATTTTTTAACATTTTAAAGTCAAAAAATGAAAGGGTATCCAGGAATAAAGAACTAAGTGTACAGTAACAAGGTACAGTATCTTTTGAGACCACCTTGAAAATCCTTGTCATATGTGTGAAGGACACAAGTCTATAAGTCTCTCACAGGAAGTCTGTAGATCTGGAGCCCTACAGAGCAGTGGTCCCCAACCTTGGGCCTCCAGATGTTCTTGGACTACAATTCCCAGAAGCCTTCACCACCACCTCTGCTGGCCAAGATTTCTGGGAGTTGAAGTCGAAGAACATCTAGAGGCCCAAGGCTGGGGACCACTGTTATAGAGGACATTCAGATTTCCCCCCTTGGAAACTGACAAGTGCCAATTCTGTCTGCCAAACTTTCAGGATGTCTGAAAGACTCAGAAAGCTGAAGGTCTGCAAGCTGCTAAGGAAAACACCTCATCACTGAATACTAGTGAAGTCTCAACCACAAAATTAAATGAATAATTTGTACCTAATTTGGTTCCTATTTCTCCCCCGTCCCTTCTTAAATTTATTTTTCGACAAGAGGTACATTATTACTATAAAAATGCAGTGTATACTGCAGCATGTACAAGTTTCTTTCAGGATTGCACATACTTGTCTCCAATTAGGTCTGGCTGACTATGGAAAGGCTGGTCAGTTTCATCATCATACATTTCTCTGCAGATTTTGTAGACAGATGCCTGAAGACATAAAAAAAAGCACTATGTGAGTTTCCATTTCCAGTATACATACCTGATTTTAATGTTTAGTTTTGAAGCTATTCTCTCCCATTAAAAAAAAACAGACCTTAGTCCTATCCAGTTATTATATCCTCCTGTCCTTCAGCAGGCTTACAGGGAAGTGCACAGCTTTCATTCCACTGTCACTAAGCTATTCAACTAATAGCCAAGGAGTGAAGTGGAGGGTTCCTACTTGCATGTAGAAAATCTGGGAAAAATCTGGCTTCTTGATCATATGTAGAGATTGCATGTGAGCAAAACTGTTTATCTTCATATTCTTCAGTAACTGTATGAAGAAACTGTCAATGGAAGTAAGATGAGATGCTCCCCTCTAAATGTTCTGAGGAAAACAATTCTAAGTGTCTGAACAGGACTATGCTAATTCTTCACTAGAGTCCATCTTTTTATACCAGCTTAATTTTAACAGGCATTGCAGATGATAATGTGCAAATGTGCTAAATGTACTGGGGAAATATGAATTCAAATCCACTTTGAATCATGAAATTTACTTTATGGATTTGGGATAGCATTAAAAGAATCTGTTGGCCTCTGTGAGCTCCCTAAGAAAAATGGAGCACAAATGCATGACAGAAAAATACAAAATCCCCATAATGTTTTTGAGATGTTGCATTGTTCCCATAAAGTCCAGCAGTATATTGGATGACATTATTAACTGTACATCCCTTTTGTAAGACAAAAACTCCTAATATATATAAAAAAGTGCTTTTCCTGCTTCAGTTAAAAGATATTGATTGCCCTTTGAAAATTTATTGGCCAAAATCCTGATGCCTAGTTTAGTAAATCACACTAGAACAGGCCCACTTAATCAACAGGGACTTAGTGAGTCAATTCCCCCAGAATTTCCACTTCTTTAAACGAGTCAACTCTGTGATTTACCATGCTACGATGGAGCTGACTCACCAAATCTCTAGTGATTCAATGGGCCTACTCTATTGTGATTTACTACATGAAGTAACAGGGCTTTTGCCACTGGGTTTTCACATGAAAAATGTGCCCTTTTAAAAGGTTGAGTGGGGTTAGAAAAACAGTCTCTAGCTGGCAGCTCATCCTATGCATATTTATCATCCATAATATTCAAAATAGCTTATACAGTATTATTGCCACAAATGCCGGTGACTTGCAATGAGCTCATAATCAGGCACTCAACCTTGCTACCAAAAGCAAATATTCCCCTTTGAGCCACACCTCACCCAAGCATTCAGAAGATTTATTAATGAAAAAGTAAAGATGACAACTGGTGCTACTGATATGCTCTTCTGACCATGACAACAAGAACAGCCTATGAATTTGGATTACCTCATCCTTAGGGAAATAGGGCCTGATGGTGTACACTTTGGAAGTAGGAGTCAAAGGAGGTGGCTGAAAAAAGAGGTCATTTGCTCCTTCAATAGGCAGCAAACGCTGTGAAAATAAATAATCAGTATGAGCGTTTGAGAAGCAAGATACAATACATTCTTGGGCGTGCATTGCAGACTCCCAAGTTAACTTTTGCTACTGCAGGTACCCCAGAGGGAGGTAGGGTTTTGAAGACTTTACAAATGTAAGGACCACTTTGCCATTTTATCTGAATAGAAAATTTTAAGATACACAACTGCTACACAGCACTTAATGGAGTTTACATTAAACTCAATTCTGCTTTAGCATTATTTCACCAAATCTCATTTATGCTCTGAGCATAACATAGCCAAGTTAAGAGGAAAGGTTTGGTCTGAAGAGGGTTAACTGGCCAGAGGAGACACTAACCCAAAAACAACGTGCTGACTCAATTGGCTGTGCGCAGAGAGCACCTGTGAGGGGGAAGAAAGTAAGCCACTGAAAATCCATGAGCAAATTCAAGCATAGAACAAACAGACCTTTAGGACTGGTTTGCCAATTGGGTTATTAGGAACACAAAGTAACAATTTTGACTTGTGATGATTCTAGAGTACACAGCATCATGGTCCCTTTGCTCATGGAGTTCTCGCTGGCAGACAAGCAGGCGCGCATTGTGCAATTGCGGGCGCAGATAAAAACGCTGTGCGACCTGCAAAGAAACAATGTGAAATGTACAACTAAAGCCGCTGCGCTTCGCAGGCGCATGGGAATGGCAGCATCTCCTTGGGATATTACTGTAGAAATGGGAGGAAAATTATTTAAAAAGAAACCTGTCAGGCTATTTGGGTTTGGGACCAGAAAGCCTTCGGCAGACCAAGCCTTCCAGCCCTCTGATGTGCAATAAAAGATTTCTCAAACAAAGACAATGTCATTCAGTTGTGAATTCATATTGATACCTGGAACTCTCCTGCTAGACCACCTCTAAAGGCCCAGGGTTCTTGGTCTCCACTTAAGAACTGTGCTGAAGATTGACTACGACACCCTGTGGAGATCAGATCCAAGCGGAGAATGTTACGAGAAGGGGGATTGTCCTGAGATACTAAAATGTCCAACAAGCTAACACACACTTTGTGGGAAGAGTTGTCTAACTGAGCTATTATCCAAGAACCTGCAGGGCTGTAATAATGATGCACAGTAGGTAAATACTAAAACTTACTAGGTGCTTCTGCTTTTTATTAATAAAACCAAACTAGTTTTGCAACAATAGCCTTCTAGAGCAGACAGTTCAACATGGTTAAAAGCTGCTAATATGACCCTTACCATATATGTACATCAGATAAACAAAGGATAAGCTTGATAGTCCTGTTCTTTCCTCACTATGAACATTTAGAAGTTTTATGGAACAAGGAAAAAAGCAGGTGCCCCATCTTGTCCAATAAAGAATGTAATTAGTCATTATCACAGCCTCTTGAAAATACTTGGACTTGTCTGAAGTCACATTTTCATGTTGAATCTTGCCAGAAAACTAGGTTTGGTGTAAGATAAAACAGCACAAACAGCAATGCAGAACAGAGGCCTATTTTATAAGATTAGAGACCACCTCCGTCTTGTGTGGCCCTCCTTACATACAACCACACAACACAGCACAGACTTTGTCACCCATAAAGGCAACAATGGCTTCTGTTGCCACATTTTATTTCCCCACCCTCAACTATGTCAGAAATGCCACAATTGCACAGCCAGCCAGCTTTGCAAAGGACTTTAAAGCCCTCTACGCTATTTATAAGGAATTGAGCTATAATTTAACAACTGCTTGGCTTTGGTGACAGTTCTGCTATATAACCAATTAGCATAACTAACATCTTTGAGAGGGGACAGGCAGGTGAATAACTGATATGGGGATTAAGTGACCTGCCTAGTCTTCTGATAAGATGAGCTGCGCAAGTTTGTTTCCTCTTGTGGACAGCGATTTACTTCCTGTTCAAGTAACAATCTCAGATCAGTACGGTCAGACATGTCATGCTAGTCAAGTAGTCTCAAAGCGAACCAAGATGGATATTGATGCTTAGCATCAAATTGTACCAAAAAAATCCTTAATACAGTTAAGTTTGAGATTACCCCAAACACAGCAGTTTGAGTTTCAACTGTTTCTAAATTAGGCTCTCGTGCAGAGAGACTTTATTACAATATCCTTTCACTGTTAACTTGGAATACTTCTCCTTTGAGACTACACTGTTACTAGCACTCCCACTATAGTATTATACAATTGATAGAGCTGTATGAATGAAGAGCTGTATGAATGAAAATCAAGAGTTAATGCCTGAGTCGCTGCGCAAATGTGACTTCAGCCCATGCCTACTGCTCCTAAACTGAGCTGCCTCACAGACAGAACTCTCCCATCTTAAAATTTATTAATCACGACACGCTGAAAGCATCTGGCGTGGTCCATCCAATAGCAGTAGATACTTGTGCTGAAGATTCTCCCATCTGCACACATTGGGGAAGAAGACAGTAGAAGGCATTAGTAATCCATAGTAGTAGTATCCACACCAGTTATATAAACTGAATGCTAGCTGGATTACAAAAATGGGTAAGGAGATCAGCCTTCAGTGGAACACTTTGCTCACCAGCATTTACTGGCTAAAACATTCTGATGTGCTGCTTATATATACTGCCCCATAACACTTCATGCACTCTCTGGGCAGTGTTTTAATGTAGTGTTTTGTATAGAGATGGGATATATATATTCACATATGAATAATCCCAGGCCCAGGTGGCTGGGATTCCCAGTCTGGCCTCCCCGAATTAACTCATCCATTTATGGGATCACTGCGCAGTGAGCGGACCCACCACCCTGCTCATTGCACCAGATGTAGCCTGGCTGCCGCTTCTCCATCTTATTCAGTTCTAGCCACTCAGCAGCTGAGCAGGAAGACTCGTCATCCCGCCCCATGGCTGGAGGACGAACAGGATGTGTGCTGCACAGTGACCCATAAGAGGATGGGTGAATTTGGGGAGGCAGGACTGGGGATCCCAGCCAGCTGGGTCTAGAATACTGTATTTGTATACAAATACTCCATCTCTAGTTTTTGTATGTATTGAATCTTCTAGCCACTTAGCAGCTGAGCAGGAAGACTCGTCATCCCGCCCCATGGCTGGAGGACGAACAGGATGTGTGCTGCACAGTGACCCATAAGAGGATGGGTGAATTTGGGGAGGCAGGACTGGGGATCCCAGCCAGCTGGGTCTAGAATACTGTATTTGTATACAAATACTCCATCTCTAGTTTTTGTATGTATTGAATGTGATATGCACATTTTATGGCTGTGCAAATAATTTAGCTACAAACCATCAGTGATACAAGATCTTTAGCCAGCAGTAATTCTTTAATCTATGGAAAATTTGAACTAAATGTATAGACCACAGAATGCACTAAATGTATCACTTATTGATATTAGGATGCAACAAGAACTCCTATCAAGAGAAGCCATCCCTTGGCAGCCTCAATCATTAGCCTGTTTTAAAAATGGGTTTGGAGAAACATTTTGGTTGGGAGATTAAAGATCACTGTTCATTGAATTAAGTTACTAGGTTAAGCATCTGCATCAAAATACATAAAATACTCATAAATTAGCTGGGATTCTATTATGTGATGCATTCATTTTTATACTAGATTTATCACTGTCTCTAAATTCTTAGATTAGAAACCTAACTACCATATTTTTTGCTCCATAGGACGCAGTCCCCCCCCCAAAAAAAAGTGGGGAAGAAAGTACGTGCATCTTATGGAGCAAATACATTAAAAAGGGTTCAGGCACCATCACCCAGAAGCCTCCCACCGCCATGCTGGGAGGCCTCTGAACTGGCACCAGAGGTTGCTTACTGTGGCAGCCACATTAGACCTCACCACACTGCCATCTACACTGCTGGCTTTCCAGGATCTGCCTCCTGGAGCCCACCTGGAAAACCAGCAGGGCCAACAGGCCTGTGGCAGCAAATTTAAATGGCAGAGGGGCAGTGAAAACAGGCAAGGACCAAAGGGGAAAGAGTGATTCTAAAAAGATTAGGGGAAACCACAATCGCAGTCCCGCACTACCATAAATTAGGCAGTTGATTTTCCCACATCTGGGGAAATCACAAGGATCAGCACCTTAAGTGCAATGGATGAGCCTTACCCTGGGAAAACCACTTTTATAATCATGCTATCTCCCCTGCCAGGTATGAGTTGGAGTGGCCCCTGCCCCCCCAAGGCATAGTGACTCTCGGCTGCACCTGCTGCTCAGAACAAGGCTGCACAGCCCCAGTCCCGCCAGAGGCCAAGAGAGCTCCTCAGTGTTTTGGGGTGCCCCACAGGACTCCCATGAGGGGCTGGGTGTTCCTCCCACAATATTCCCCCAGTGCACAGATATTAGCATACCTAATGTGTGGGGAAGGCAGGGAAAGTGGGAAATTCAAACTTTCAGTTAGTGAAGAGGCTGCTTGTCTGCTTCCTTGCTAGTCCAAGCAGTTAGAGAGCTGGGGGAGAGATCTGGGACTGCCTGGTATTGTCATTTTTAAATGTAAAATTTAGTTTAAAAGCTGCTTCTTAGTGCTTGGGTGAAAAGGTGCTCCATTTGAGTTGAAACCTGCTTGTGTAGAAACGTGCATACTTGCTTCAAAAGCTGCTAGTTTTGCTTTAAAGGCTGCCTGGGAAGCCTTTCAGACCAGTGCCGATCAGCTGTTAGGTGGGGAGAAGGGAGGGAGAAGGAGCGGAGAAAAGCACAAAATGGCTGCCTGCTGCCTGCTGGGTGCCAGCTTTTAGCTGTTTGGTGTTCTTTTTCAGCTGTTAGGCACCGTGAAGAGCCAGGCTCAGTCTACAGTACCTGGTAAGTGACTTTCTTTTAATTTTTTTAAGTTTCCGACCTTCCCCCCCCCCAAGAATGCATTAATTAATTTTCAATGCATTTCTATCGGAAATTTGGATTCAACCTGCAAACTTTTCAACTAGTTCTGGGCATCTAATAGAGAATGTATTTCCAAAGGGTGTTGCAGTAAGGAAACTAACTGTGCTTTATGAGCCAGAACACAAACTTGGCTGCTGATCACAAATTAACCCTTCATACATGGGAAAGCAAAATTCAGTCTTACTTTTAGTTGTTTCCAAGTCCTTATGGTTGGGGTATCTCTTTGATGTATCTAAATCAGAACAGGGCCAGGAAGTCTCAGAGACAGGGCATAGTTATTAGGTTAGCGTTTTTGGAACAGAGTTCTTGCTTGTAGCACATACTACATTTGCTGATACAGTAGTTTGAAAATTAAGAAAGTCAAAATTCTTAGTGACTTCCAACTGGATTACAGTACCTGCTTCCTGATTTCAGCTATTAGGTTGTATTCAGTTTTTTTGGCTCACCAAGAACATTGTTCCTAGCTTTGTCTTGAATAACCTGTTGTGTCTTGCATGCTATAAATGTTCAATTATGTCCGAAAACCGCGATTTAGTCTTATGCTGAGCATGTGCTACTGCTGATGAATGGGATCAAGTTCTTTGTGTTGCTGTTCTTTTGCATAACCTAAAGTAAATAAGGAAAACCAGCTGTTAAATAGTTTAATTCCACTATTTATCCTCCACACAACTAAAAGGGACCTCTCAATGCAGTGCCAAATCAGACAAACCATTTCTAACTTAATATAGGCTTGAGCTGGAGCTGGGCAGAGTTGCACAACAATCTCATTTGTCATTGAGACATTTCTATAAGCATGGGGAGGAGGTGGATGAAAGGAAATGTAAAATATAGGTAGCGTGGTATAGGTATTATCGCTGGCTGATAACGGTCTATATGTACTTGACTTAAATTTATGGAACACAAATTTATGGCACATAAACTAGAGTACACAAACCTTTAAGTCTCTCCATTTGTCCATAACAGTGGTAATGGTTCTTAATGCCACTGTTGACTGCTGTTCACTTTACATGGTTCAAATGTTATTCTGTTATAGTTTATTAAATATTTTATTACACTATTTGGTTCAAAATATTTTTTCCTGTGTTCCTCCTCTAAAAATCAGATGCGTTTTAAGGAGCAAGAACATGGTATTTCAGGTCTGTTGATAGCACTGGGCAGCTGAGCAGGGATTCACACTACTAAAATTAAATAAGCACAGCCCTAGTATGACCTTTGGAAAAACCTAATGTATAGTCCTAATATTTTTTAAAGCAATAGTTCTTGTATCAAATGAAATATTACATTAGTACAGAGTAGTTCGGTTACACAATTTTACACTTACTGGTCTTGTAGGGATTCGCCCCCTCTTTACACAGTAAAGACTTCACTTACTACAAAATGTGGTAAGCCAACTCTATCTGCTCAGGGTGCTCCTGTCATTCTGCTGGGTGGGCCACTGGCCATTTGCCCCTAAGTTTTGCCATTATGGCAGTATTTTCATAGGACAATGGGCTATCTTGCTATGCTTGAGGAGGGATCACATCTGTGTGCATGTATTTATATATAGTCCTATGTAATTATCTGATATACTGTGGATACCAGATTTATCATATTCAGAGAATCCTGTGAAACACTGCTGTATCTAAAATATACATACAGTATACCTCTTGAAGAGATTTTGGAATGTTAGAATATTTGATCTTCCCATTATTTTGTTCTAGGATCAAAAAATCTCACTGCACAAAGCCATGGGCAATCTCATTTACATGCCCATTCCTGTCAGGAGAATACACAAATTAAACTTTCCTATATCTTTATCATAATCTGTTACGTAAGACTCTACAGAGAATTAGTTTTTTAAAATTTTTCATGATGATGGTCTGGGATCGGAAGAAATGTTTTCACCCTTTTATATGAGCCTTCTGTTATCTTTATGAAAAAAGGCCCCAATTTTTGTCCAGCTTGTTTGACGTTTTCACTGTCAATTTGTCAAAAGTAACCATGCTGTTGTCTTACAGACCTAAGACAAAATCTTGTATTTGTGAAATGCTTAATTCTCTTTGAAGTGATTGTGGAAACTACCAAGTCTCTGTCCTAATTTTAATAGACTGCAATGCCAATTCTTCCTTTAAAGAAACAGCATTCTCCCCTTTCTTTTCTGTGAGTAATTCTCTCTCTCTGTGTGTGTGTGTGTGTGTTTTCATATAAATAATACAATTTGCTCAAGTATTTCTAACATTTTGTCCACTGAATCTAAATAAGCTCTATTAACTTTCATTCTCTGAAATGTCACTAGTCCTACCTAGACAGATAGCTAGTCTATTTCTAAGGGGTAGCTGAGGAACTAAAAGAATCCAAATCTGTAATCAGAATAATTGTATCACTTATAACTGAGTCGCTTTATCATAGGCTACCATCTTATAGTACAGATTGTCTGAGGGCATATTCCTATTTGGTCCTGTAAATAACCTTTGATCCCTAAACTCGATTTGAAAAAATCAGAGAAAGACAGAACTCACTGCAAGATTGCATTTTAACCAATCACAGTGCTAAATCACATAAACTGTTTTCTCAGCCCCAAATTTTGAATTATTTCATTTATTTATCTGGGGAAAATACTTAATATTGAAAAAAAAGTTTTATAAAAAAGTTTTATATACTAAGTCCTAAAAGTCTAGCCAGAAATTTTTGTTTACATTTAGTCATTACTCATGAAAGAATAATATAAACTTGTGTATCCTGGTAACTAACCCAAGACTCTATTCCAACATATGTCAATATACAAGCTATCATGACATTTAAGTGATCCAGAAACTGCAGGCTGATCCATTATTGTTCAATGAGTTTATTATAATGTTTGAGACAACTACAGAAATTGTGACAGGAAATCATCAGCTTTGCTGCCTGCTGTGTACCATCAAGCAAGTCCACAGCATATTCCTTACAGCTGGATTGAAACCTGAAAGTGAAATGAAGTCACTAGAGGAACCCAGGCCATGCTGGTGCTATTCCAAAAACCCATGAAATTTTAAAAAGGCTGCAGAGAAAAAATGACTTAATTTCTCACCAGAGATCATTAGTCTGGCATAAAAGCTGACTCCAGAGCTCTGGAATTTCTTACCCTTGCCCAAAATCAGGCATCTTGCAAATGCCAAAGCAAATCACTTTTGCACCAGAATAGCCTTATGCTAAAGCTCGCATGCGCAGAGAAAGCCTAGGAGGCTCGACTCCCTCTTGGCCAGGCCCACTGAAAGGTCACATCTGCAACTGTTCTGTTGAAAACAGCAATATTGTTATTGAGACAGAGCAAGCAGCAGATAGCTGAGGTATGGTCACATTTCAGAGTGTCTTTTCCAATTTTGCAGCAAGTCCAGAAAATACTGCCCGATTTAGTCCAGTGTGCATTCAGTTTGAGTCAACACTTGTGTTTCAGAGATCAACGTCTAGGGTAATTAGCCCAAGAAAAAAAATTAAAAATCACAGATTCACCATACAGCTACTAGTACTTGTACTGTACTTCTCATAGTAAATGAATTGTGAGCAAGAACAAAAGTAGGAAAAATATTTAAGGTCAAAATGACCATAATGTTAAAATACTTGCCTTATTATCTTTTTTTCTCGTGGGCTAATAAGAGACAATCATATATGCTAATTACAACTATTATTGGTTCCTAAAGAACATACCTAGCCACTGCACAAAGGATTTCACCATTGACATGATGCTCTTGATGTCCCAGACATAGGAGTACATATCATAGAGGATTGTCCGATTGGCACAGTTGGAAAGACGAGTGAACATTCCCATCACCATGCTACACATTTCTTCAAACTTGGCCGCACGAGCACGCCATTCTTCAATCTAATAAAAGAGATTTTTATTTATACATTCACATATTTATATCCCACTTTTCAAAACAAAAATGTTCATAAAGATGAACACTAAATCCCACAAATTGGATTTTCCTCCAAGATACATACAGAAGCTGAAAATGGACAGTTGTCGTCTTAATATCCATCACTTCCAGATCAATAGCCAGTGTGATCTTGGAGGATTCATCCAAAGCACAAAGATACACTGTACAGTTTGAAGCCCAATGCATGTCCTACTTACTTCTCCCCAGGCTACATACAGGTGAAGAATACACACCCCTTGTTAGGTGCTAATCTAAACAAACAAACAAACAAAAAGCCCACTGAAGTAACAGTCCCTTACCTTTTCAGAATCCTTTCCTTTGCAATTCACACTGACAACACTGCTATTTGCTCTGAGCCACTGGAATTCTCGTAACATTTGTGCCCCTTTGGGCCCATGTTCATATGGGAGGTAGAATAAGTCTGCAAGTAACTGCAGATCTTCCAGAGTAACTGGCTCTACTGAATATAATGGCTTTTCATGAGGACCAGGCACAAACTGCTCCTTGTTAGTTTGCTCATCTGTCTGCATAGGTGCAATGTCACTACCACAATCATCTTGCATTGACATTTCTGGAGATTTTGATTCAGTTATGCTCTCTTTATCAGTATCCATTGGCTTTAACTCCTCTGACATTTTTGCTTCAACAATGTCAGTCAGTATTTGACTGATATTCTTGTCAGCATCCTCTTGCTTTTCCACCACCATGTCCATTGGCTCTTCATCCAACTGCTTCTTCTCCTCCTCCTCTTTGACCAGGGCCTGTGATTCATTGCTCATTGCTCCTCCTTGACTCATTATTGGCTCTTGATAAACTGTGGTAACCACGGTAGTAGAATTTAAAGACGATGGTGCAACCAAAGGAACATCCACAACGTTTGTTTTTGCCCCACTATGGGCCACTTGCCTACCTGTAAACACAAAGAGGCATGCAGCTTTAGGTCCATTTATTCAGTTATTTCACAGAACCCATGAATAACCTTTCTAAAAAAATGAGCACATGTAAAGTCATGTAATCATTCTGTCACAACTAATTTCCAAAGGGGCCTAAGAAACATCTGAAATTTTGAAAATAGTTCACCAAATTTTCTTATACAGATATTTTCTTCATGTAGGAAAAACGTAAAGTGTAAGCTTTTAAGAACTACAACTTATACCTAGATAGCCAGTGAAGATGCATCCTGTAATAAGAAATAGCAAAACATACTATTAATGAATATGGGTGACAAAGCAGAGTCAATTTGCCATGACAGACTTCTACCCATCTAGATAATAGTACAAAGTACTACACAAAAATCCTGTCCACTCTTTAGTGTCACCAATTCTTTATGATCCATTTTTAATATGGTATAAACTCTAACATAATTTTTTCAGCCAACTGTTTTCAACTAAAATGCATGTTACAGAACGGGAAGGGCAGCAGGATTTTTCGAAGTTTCTTCTATGGAGTTGAAAACCACAAGTTTCAAGAACATTATTCAATTACTCAAATGCTTTGCTTATGACAAAACCACAGCTCTTACTCACTGCTGTACTGATGAGGTACTGCAAATTCCTGTAGCCACTCTGTTAGTGACAACTTCAAGGCCATCTGTGGGCTATAGAGAACATCTGTTTCAATATCTTCATCACTCCCTTCATTCTCTAGTTTAATCTGGATTGAAACTGTACTGTCTTCAGTGTCAGCTGCACAAAGCATGAAGAAAGCAATATTTTAATTGAGAATTAAGCTTCGAAATGTTCATGTATTTGCATTTGAAGAAGAAAATCAAGCACAGTTTTATGAAGATGAGTTGTAAACACCATCAGGTGCCACAATAAAATAACAACATTCTACAGTTTACAAAGAGGCTGAAGATGAGTTGTAAATACCATCAGGTACCACAATAACAACATTCTACAGTTTACAAAGAGGTAGCTGTGTTATTCTATTTCAGCACATATAACTGAGTTAAAACAGAACTGCAAAAACAAACAGATTGATTCAGTATGAGTTGTGGATTACAATCTTCTTCCACAGACACATAAAGCATAACAATTAGCTCACATGCTTATATAGACAATAGACCTAGGGTGCAATCACATGAATACTTGTCCTGCTGTGGGAACAGGTGCTTTATGCTTTTTTCCAAGCAATCAAATGAGGGAAGCAGTCTTATCCTCACAATATTCCTACCTGCACCAGCCTGGGTCCATATCAGGGTCTCGGTCTCTCTCTCTCTCTCTCTTTCTCTCTCTGTAGGGGGGGGGGATTGCTCCATTTTTGGTTCATTTCCAGCATGTGCAGGAAATGAAGAAATAGGGATATTAAATTGGGAAGTTAAAAACTCCTTTCCTCTGCTGCTCCCCAGAGTACAGAAAGGAAGGAAATGAATATTTTTATGCTATTAAAACAGCTCTGATGCGCTGTTTCACTTAGAGAGGGGGATAAAAGGAATCTTCCTCCCAGAAACAAGAAAAAACAGGAGGGGAAAAGGATAAGAGTTTTTCTCCCCCTTGTCTTTAATTTCTTAAAGGAGCTGGACCAAATAAGGTCACCTGAAGTGCATATGCTATTTGGATGCAAGGATCACACCAACTGGCATACTGGATCTCAACTCAACCTTAAGCTCGCTCCAATTAAGCTTGTGTAGACAAACTCAAAGTAAAAAGACGGGAATCCAGTGAGATGGGAGAAATGGGTGACAATTATATTAGTAACGGTCTTCTACAATTATCATTGTTTAGCACCAGTAATGATCAGACAAACTCCTGATCACATACATATGCTACTAACACCAATCTGATGGTTTTCAGGAAGTATGCTGAGGTTAGAGTTACGTCAAGGAAAATAGCTTTTTTATTGTATCCATTTCTCAAGATGATGGATGAATTCAAAGTTCTACAATGCAGCTATTTTGGATATCACCACTGGTTTTAAAAACAAAAAATAGTTAATTGCTTCTTATCAATGTAGGTACCCACATGTCTTGTGTGAAATGATTATGAGACAAGGTCATGTTTCCCAAAATAGGCCACTTAAGTTGAAGTGAAAAATCCCTCTTTGGAAGGCAGGGTTTTCTACAAAATTGTTTCATAAGACAGAGTTGACTTTATGATCAACTTACTCATCACAACATCTTTCCTCACTCCATTCATGTTGGATTTGTACCAGGTTGCCAGAGTATGAATAGCAACGAAGTTGGCCTCAAATTCACAGTTTGGATTTGTCAGGACTCCCTTTAAGCGTGGGATGAGTTCTGTTGATCGACCTTTATATGGCCCAAGAAACAGTCTTTTCTGATCATAATCATTAGCATGAATGTTGTCCCAGATGACAGGAGCTCTGCGAATTATCTTTGAAACCTCTTCAATGGACTCTACAGGAATTTCTTTAGATACCACTTTGGGACCTAAAATAAATAATTCAATAATGAAAGACCAAGAATAGAATTACAGGATATTCCTAGAACAATGTGATAAAATGTAGCCAGTGTACCAAACATTGAATTAAAATGATAAATTTAGTTGATGAATCAACCTAGAAAGAAGTAAAATACTCACCCGTCCAGAGCACATCAATCCCTGGTAACAGCTTTTCTCCTACTGTTCGTAAATAAGGAGACTGAGCAACATTTGGATAGCAAAAAGTGCCACAGTATTCTGGAACAGATAAAAATATTTACATGTTGAAACTCAAATTATTCAGAGCATTTTCAGGCAAAAGTGGATCACATTACAAGAGAATGCTGAAACCCTTGTTATTGCCATGTTATATCAAATATTTTGCATTTATTTATAATTTTTATGGCTCCCTGAACAACTGAAACTATACAGACCAATAAATAAGGAAGCAGAAAAATGCATAAATAAAAGTCAGAATCTTTTCATCATTCATGCAAGGTTTATGTAAATTGCTGCAGCTAACAGATTAGATGCAGTCTGACACACCATAAATCAACTGCTGTAAGATACACAAACATTGTCCAAACATCACCAAAATTCTGGCCAAAATGTTAGGGGATGTAGGCCTTCTACAGCAGTCCACTAACTTTTCTGAAAAACAATGCCTTCATAGAATCAATTCTTCCAAAGTAGACAGCGATATAAAGGTTGTGATAGTTAGGAAGCTTCTGGGACCTAATGAACATATTGAGACTAGTTTTTAAAATGCTAGAGCCATCAAATTAAGATTTCTTCTTCCTATGTTTTTCAGTCACCTTGTATTATGCGGCTAAGAATACAGAAAAATGGTAGTTCTGCCCTCTAGGATTTCTCAGAGTGATATTTGTTTGTTCTTTTACTATTATTTTTAGCTTTAACATTGTCTTCTAATGTTGTAAACTGCCTCTTTATACTCATTGTTTTTAGCTTTAAACAGTATCTTTTAATGATGAAATTCACCTTGGGTCCTTTTTAATGAGAAAGGAGAGGTAAAAATATTTTAAATTAATAAAATATAGCTGTTGGACATTAGTTAAGCTCAACCTGATACCTGGAGAATAAATACTAAAATCATTTTAGAAGTTGGTCATATAAGCACTTTAATGAATAAAATCTTACCTCCTCAGGCCCAGCTAGAAGAGGATTAACACAAACGTATGCCAAAAATATTTAATGAACTGTTCATTACACAAAGAAAACACTAGAAAACACTGGTTGGGACAAAACTTTCTATACTCAAATCCCAGACTAGAAATTGTAGGAATTGGCCATTTCTCTGTGTACAGTCATCTTGACTCCAGATATAATACTTCATTCTCCATATACATCATTGTCAATTATGGGAGAGGAGAGGCAAATTGGATATCACTTCGGAATCTAATCTCTATTTCTTAATTTAAAAAATTAAAAATTAAGAAAGCAAAAAAGAAGAAAGTTTTGTTTAGTAAGAGTAACAAAAATGACCACTAGAATAGAAAAATACATGCATCAGTTAAACATTAGTTTATTCATCTACTTTATTCTTCCTTGCTCTTTTACAAGGTTCTGTGAGCCTTCCTTCACTGGTTCTACATAACATGATCCTATAGAAACAGGCAATAGCTATTTGTCTAACGCAGTGGTGGCGAACCTTTTTGGGCTCGCATGCCCAAACTGGGTGGGTGGGTGGTAACAATGGGTGGTGTGCTGCCACCGCAATAGCCGCAGCGGAAGTGGCAGTGGAAGGGGGAATCCCGGCACAAAGGTGCCTCAAGACCCCTCTGCTGCCAGCACCAGTTGCTCCGGATCCGCCTGCCAAAGCGCCAGCACCGCCTGCAGCCGCCTCCTGACGTTTGGCTGCGTGGGGGGGGGAGGGGAGATTAGCGATCTGCTGACCTATGGCTTGCGTGCCAGCAGAAAGGGCTCTGCGTGCCAGCTGTGGCACGCATACCATAGGTTCGCCATCACTGGTCTAACACAGCAATAGTCAGTTTCAGCTGTGTTAAGCAGCAATTTTCAAAGCTGGGAATAGCCTAAGGGCCTTTCCCCAAAGAGGCATATGCAAATAGGCTAATACAGTGGTGCCTCGACTTACGACTGTCCCGACATACGACCATTTCGAGTTGCGACCAGCTCCGACTGCAAAATTTTGCTTTGACTTGTGGCTGGAGCTTCAAGTTACAAACAAAAGAGGCAGGGAAAAAAGGCGGGGAATTTACAGGACTAACCATTGGTCGGCAAAGAGCTTCTTTGTAGCTCTTTTGCCCCAATGGTTAGAGTGTCTGTGTCAGAGAAGGCTTCAGACTGCCTGGTGCTGCTTTCTCCTCCTAAGTACATTTCCTTTGTTTTGCAAGGTGGGCTTTGGGGGTTATGTTTCTGTGCTGTTATGTTTTTTGGTGTGGGGTTTTTTCCCCATCCCCATTGCATTCTGATGGGGCTTTGTCTGTTTGTTTTTTGTCTTTTTTCATCCCCATCACATTCCGATGGGGCTGGCTGTGTGGGGTTTTTTTTTAAAAAAATTCATCCCCATCGCATTCCAATGGGGCTTGGGTTTTTTTTAAAATTTTCTTTTCAGCCCCATCGCGTTCCAATGGGGCTGGCTGTGTATGGGGGGGTTTGACTTTTTCCCCCCAGCCCCATTGCATTCTGATGGGGCTTGGTGTGTGGGGGTATGTTTGTCTTTATTATTTTTCAGCCCCATTGCGTTCCAATGGGGCTTGCTGTGTGGCATGTGCTTTTTAAAATTATTATTAAGTTACAACTGTTCTTCTGGAACGGATTAAGTCATACGTCGAGGCATCACTGTATATACAGAACAATTATAAAGTAATTATTGGAACCAGTATAGCTTTTAAAGTTGCAGTTGCAACTGATCTTAAAAAACAGATTTGCGCTGTTCATGAAAATCTGTTGTTATATTTCCCCTGAATAAAATCAGTCAAACTTTGCCCCACAAAATACTGAATCCTTTAGTGTAAAAAAGCCATAAAAACTGGGGGTTTTAAGTGAAAAACCCCATCTGCACCTTTAGTTTTTTGAGGTATGGGGCTCCAGGTTTGCTGGCAGGCTCCAAGAACATGGTACATTCCCCCCTTTGTACTGGAGAATACAAGAGGGCTTTCTGAGGAATCTCCCCCCCCCAAAAAAACCACCTAAATTTTGGGGTGGTGGCTGGAGGGCCAGTGGAAGCATGTTGTCCACCCTGATATTAAAACATCAGGGCAGACCGGGCGGGCAGGGGGGGAATTGCCACTGTTTATAAGGACATCATTGTGGCTGCTAGGCTCTCTGTGGTGGCAATCCCATGTCTAGAGGCTGTCCACATGTTATTTGAGGCCAGGGGTGGCTTTGGGATTGTGCTGGCATACCGCGCTCCCAGCAATCCAGCGCAGTCCCTGCCGGAGCCAGCGGGTTTTGTCTCCGTGGCACTGTTGAGGTCCCCCAGACTATTGATTCTCGGAAACTTCAACATTCACACGGAGGTTTAGGTTTCCGGCTCAGCTCGTAAGTTCCTGGAAACCATGGCTTCCTTGGACTTGACCAAGCAAGTCAACAGTTCTACCCATGTGCTGGATCTGGTCTTTCCTGCTGAGCAGAGTGTGTGTTTCTCCGATGGTGGCCGACTTGGTATCGGCCCCCTTGTCATGGTCAGATCATCACCTAATTAAATGCAGCCTCTCGGTGGCACTTTCCTCCTGCAGGGAGCTTGGACCCATTAAGATGGTCTGCCCCCGCAGGTTACTGGATCCTGATGGATTCAAAGATACCATGTGGGGGATTCCGGCTAACTTGGTGCTCCTGTCAATGCTCTGGTGGATGGCTGGTATACCGCCACCACCAGGGTGGTCGATACAATCGCACCTAAACGCTCTCTGCCACTGAGCCCAACCAGCTCCCTGGTTTAACCATCAGCTGAGGGCCATGAAGCGTAACTGAAGAAGGCTACAGAGCATTTGGAGAAGGGCCCGATGGAAATTAATTTAAAAACCACCAGGATCACGTCTAACCTTTACCTAGCTAGGATAAAGATTGCTGGAAAATCATTGTTCCCTGACCGGATAAGTGAAGCTCACAACCAGCAGGCGGAACTTTTCTGTATTGTACGCAATCTATCCGGAGTTGGCCACAGTGATAGGCCTCCCTCTAGTATTTCCTGTGACCAATTTGCAGCATTTTTAAAATTTGAAGTGGAGGCCATCCAACGGGACGTTGATCCCTTTCTACAGACAGCAGATAGAGCAGAGATGTCCAGTGCATCATCTTGCCCGGTGAGGTTAACTTACTTTCAACCTGTGACGTCCAATGAGGTGGACAGGGTGCTTGTGTGCTGTCGTGCTGCCACCTCCTCTTTAGACCCTTGTCTGGCCTAGCTTATCAAAGCAGCCAAGCCGGTAACAGAATGGGCCACCGCAATAATTAATGGGTCTCTCCAGGAGGGCATGGTTCCTCCTGCCCTCAAGGAGACACTAATTAGGCCCATCAGAAAGAAACCTAATTTGGCGGCAGACAAAATTGGAAATTATAGGCTTGTCGCCAATGTTTCTTTCTTGAGTAAAGTGGTCGAGAGGGTGGTGGCCAATCAGCTCAAGGCCCTCCTGGAGGAAACTGATGCCCTTGATCCGTTCCAGTTGGGCCACAGGCTACGGCATGGTACGGAAACAGCATTGCACAGGCCACGGCATGGTACGGAAACAGCATTGGTCGCCCTGCAGGATGACCTCCTGAGGAAGGGCAACAGGTACAATATGTCCTTGTTGGTCCTCCCCGACATCTCAGCGGCCTTTGATACTGTTGACCATAATAACCTCCTGGGGCGACTCTCTGAGTTGGGAATTAGTGGCCTCGCTTTGGCATGGCTCCCTTCCTTTTTGGAGGACCGTCCCCAGAGAGTGCAGCTTGGAGAGATAACTTCCACCCCGTGGATCCTCAACTGTGCGGTTCTGCAAGGGTTAATTCTCTCACCAATACTATTTAATATCTATATGAGGCCGCTGGGTGAGGTGACACCCAGCTCTGCCTCTCCTTTTTCCCTACTGCAGTGGATGCTCTTCCGACCTTTGAACGCTGCTTGGGGACCGTTCTGGAGTGGATGAGGGCAAATGGACTAAGGTTGAATCAGGATAAGAGAGAAATCTTGTGCGTGGGCAACCCTGGCATCAGTGGGTTGGGAAATTCCCTCTCCTTTGGGGGAGTAACTATGTAGCGAACAGCCCTGCCCTCACCTGTCTGTCACAGCTGAACAGTGGAGAAGGAGCCAATGAGAGGACGGAAGGTGGAGCCAAGGGTGGAGGGAGCTGGATATAAAGGCTGGTGTATGGAGCATGAGGAGAGATTCTGTGAGTGAAAGACAGTGTGAAACTTAAAAAGTGAACTTAGAGTGAGTTAGAGTTCTGTAAGAACGCTGAATGGTACAGAGAGTTATTGGAGATTTAAAGTCAAAGTAGAACTGATACAAATACAAGTGATTAGCAACCTGTGATTTACTTATCGAATATTAATCAGATGTTAACTTCCCTGATCTAATAAATGAGTTAAGTTTTAAAAGCACACGTGTCTCCTTGATTAAATGGTATTGAAGCAGCAATACCTGGTGGCAGCGAAGAAAGAAGAGCGAGAACCTCGTGAAGACCTGAGGGAATAGGGGCTTCAGAGGGGATCGCCACATGACACTTCCCATGAAGAGTGAGGCTTGCAGCTTGGGCATCTGTCTGGACCCAGTGGAAACCCAGGCGGCATCTGTGGTCTGGGCAGCCCATTTCAAACTTTGGAGGATTGCCCAGCTGCGTTCCTATCTAGACATGGGGGCACTCACAACGCTGATTCATGCCCTCGTAATCTCAAGAATAGACTACAGCAGTGCTCTCTGCGTGGGGCTACCCTTGAGACTGATGCGGAGACTTCAACTGGTCCAGAATTCGGTGGCCAGATTAATAACTGGGGTGAAGAAATTCCAGCACATCTCACCCACTCTGGCCGCCCTTCATTGGCTACCGGTTCATTTCTGCATCGACTTTTGGCTTTTCGGTGCCAGGCAAAGACCTTTCTGTTTAGCCAGCATTTTAATTAAATATTATCCTTTAGATGGCCATATAAGCATAAGGATTTATTAATAATAAATTGACTTGTTTAATATTGGGTACTATTATAATATTGGGTATTATTTAAATAGTTTTTAATGTTGTTCTAAAGTTTTAATATTGCTGTAAGCCACTCAAGAGACCACTGGTAATGGTGCAGCTAAAAATGTTGTAAGTAAATTATGAAAAGGTTGTGTGGTTCTCAAGTTTACACAAATGTAAAAGTACTTGATTACTTTATCAGAATAGTAAAATATCAAACAAACAGCAAGCTTTTGTGGATAAAATTCCACTTCTTCAGGCTTATGCACCAATAGTGGATAGTGTAGAAAAATTGTAAAAATAAAAATCCCAAAAGTTTATGGCAGATGTCTGTGGCAAGTCAGCTTGAATTGAATACAAACCAAGACTGCAAATCACCCCAGCATTTAGCATAGTAAGTTGCAGATACAGTAGACCCACTGAATGAACAGAACCTAAATAGAAAATGTTCTTCTAAAAACCTTCTAAGAAGATTTGGCATACTCAAGCAGATACCCAAAACAATAACTTTTCTATCAACATTTCCTTTAGAAAGGTCATAGGGTTGCCTGGAAAGAAATGGATTTGATAAATGTTTTAATCTCCTAGTTTCATCTACACACTTAAGAGAGTACAGTGGTGCCTTGGCTTACTAACGTACATACTTACAAACATATCGACTTACGAACTACTCCGGTCACAAAATTTTGCTTCCACTTGCGAACACAAAAAGGCAGGGGAAAAGGGCAAGAAATTCAAATTGCTAACTGTAGGTGGCAACGAGACTGCTTCTTTGTAGCTCTTTTGCCCTGGCAGTTAGAGTTTGCGCGATCTGAGGAGGCTGACTGCTAAGGTAAGGTGCTGCTTTATACTTTTTAAAAACTGTTCTGAGTATTTTTGCAATGTGGTTTTTGGCTGGGGGGGGGTTATGTTTCTGTACTGTGATTGGGGGGTTGTTTGTTTTTTTGTTCCCCCCAATTTCCGATGGGGGGGGGTTGGTTGCTTTTTGGACTGTTTTTTCCCATTTCTGATGAGTCTTTGGGGTGTGTGTTGTTTTTTGATCCCCCCATTTCTGATGGGTCTTGGGAGTTTTGGTTGCTTTGGGTTCCCCCCCCCTCATTTCAATGTGTCTTGCATGCTTTTTGCTTTGTTCTCTTTGCATTTATGATCTGCTCCGTTTGTTTTTGCAATGGTTCCCGCATGCTTCCCGCTTTTTCCTTTAATTTCTGTGCATTTTCGACCTTGTCCCTTTGTTCTCTGTGCATTTCTGACCTGCTCAGTTTGTTTTCTGTGCATTTGCAATGGTTCCTGCATGCTTCCCTTACAGCTTGGGTTTGGGCTGGGGGGGGCTATGTTTCTGTGCTCTGATGGGTCTTGCAGACCCTTTCTGCAAAGGTCTGTGTTGGCTGGTTTGCTCT